GAAATTCAATAAGAAGAATAAAGCGCGAATGACAATTGATAATTAAATATAAATTTAAGGTTTATGGATTATAGTGTTGATTTTCGAAGCTAACCCTTTCATGAAAGTTGTAAAGCTTATCACTATGAGTGATTGTATATATATATATATATATTTTTTTTTTTTACATTTTGTACACTTACACTTCTACAATAATTATTATTAATTTTATTAATTTTTCCCTCAAATAAAAAACATTATTCATGAGGGTTTGGAGGATTTTAAAAATCTAAACGATAATGTAAGTGTAACCATTATCTACTCGTGGAGGAATAATGATGAATCACGAGTGTTTATATATTCTTTCACATTTTTCATACTTGTATGTATGTCTTCTTAGTTCTTGCCTATACAAATACTATACTAGTTTATTTTAATTTTGGACAACAACATGTTAAGTAAAATTTATCCTAGTAATGATAATAAGGAACTCTCATAATAAATAAATAATGACTAAAACTTTTTTTTATAACTTATATAGAATAATAATACAAAACTATATATTTAATATAGAATATATTGTATATATTAATATGGCTATTGTATTTTATAATAAATCTTTTAGTAATTAAACTTTAAAATTATCAAAATAATTTATTTCTTAACGGGTCGAAACAGATTATCCACGTGTTACCCGCATGTATACTCGTTGACAGGTTCTTAACGGGTCACCCGATAATGACCCGATTAGTTATCGTGTTGACCCGAAACCCGTTATTTTCTTGTCATGTAAAAAACTGTCGGGTCTAATTAAAACACAATGGACTAGCAATAATGTTAAAAAAAATATCATATGATTAATTTAAGGACAAAAGTTATTGTTTAAAACCGTGTCATTAAATGTTATACGCCTAAACAATAACACCAAGAAATATGTAATTAAGAGAGTGCAATCTAAATCAGTTAGATTCATGAAATCTTTCTTCCACACACATATCGTAAACGTTCCTAATCATAGGATTTGTCGACTAGGAATTGACAATCAGGAGAGGTAAATGCATACTATGTCTTTTCTCTAGAGAGTGATTGTTCTCGAGTTATTGGTTTGAAACACACCAATACAAGTATGTACGTGCTCAATATAGAATGAGTCCACTGAACGCGATCAAACAAGAGTTCTCATACTCATGTCTTGTGGTTAGGTCTTTAATTTTTTACTATGTTAAAGGCACTCTGATGTGAGTGGGTGTCTACGATATCGTTGAGGTTAAGCTACCTAATCATGGAGGCATTTGATTGTACAACAATGGATCTTAACATTCAACCTGTTGAGGGAAATACTATATGATATGATTTAGAATCCTTGGCTAGAGTATGAATAAGATTTAGAAAGTACGTTCCAAATCGCATTCAAGGTAATCATATAGACAAGAGAGTCACATTGGATTATATACATGAATAAATTATCAACCAAACAAGGTTCTCCACTTCTTCTGCTTAGCCTTTGTAGCCATAACATACTGCAAGGTGTAACTTGTGGTTAGTGGAAGTCCTGAAGATTAATAATCATTAAATGGAGAATTGAAAGATGTTTTCAATTCACAATCGCTTAGTAAGATTTCTAATTGCTCATTGCCTCGCTAACTAGAACATAATGCCTCGCATCCCGTGTAAGGTAATGATTGAAGAATAAACAGAGTTAAGTAAGGACAATTAAGTGGTTTAATTGTTTAATCGTTTTAGACCTTGAGTTATTATTGGGCCTCAAGATCCAATGGGCTTCAAATCATCAAGCCCATTAAGTTAAGTTGTGTGACAACTTAAATCACAAAAGACACAAAGGCCCACTAACTCACTTAATGGAAGTGACTATACAATGGGATTAATAGCATTGAGGTCATTAGGGTTTCTTTAAGGAAAGAGAAAACACAAAGCTCTCTCTCTTTCTTTTGGAGGCTGGCCGCACAGGAGGAAGAACACTAGCATCTTCTTCCTCCCATGTCAGTCATCTTCTTCCAAAATCATTCTTGGTGTCAAAACGTAGAGACTTCCTAGTTTGGTGGCTTTGGAGAATACACTCAAGCATCCATATCCAAGAATTCAAGGACCTAAAATGATGAAGACGAAGGCTATAGAATCCAAATCAAAGAGAGAATTGAAAACTCTCACTAGGGTGATTATCTTTTGCTTATGCATTGAGGATCTATAAACATATAACAAATCTCCACTTTCTTTGTTGAATTTGAGTTGAGTCTTTGGTTAACAACTATTAGGCTTTGAATTTCACAAGTTGAGTTTTATTTTTAGTGCATACAAGCATGCTTCTGCTATTTAATTATTAAATGCATGTATGTATGTTGCTCCACGTACTTCATTTTATCAAATGTTCATTTTATCAAGAGTTGACCGTACTGGTCCTTGGTTGACCTCCCGGTTTTTAACATTAGCTACATGTATTGATCAAACCCCTGTATTCTCAGTTAGTACAGAGTGAGAAACCATAGGTTGCTTGGTAAAGCTCCATGATATTAGATTTGGACCATAAAAAATAAATAATCTAGAATTGAATTGACGAAGTATTTGAATAGTTGACTTAGTTATGAGCCTCAGAGACAGAGAACTGGAGAATGGTGACTGGACTTGAGGAAGAATGAAAAACAAAACCCAAGTAAATATAGCGTTTGATATATCATAAAATGCGCACAAATTTGGATATGAACTGGAATAATTGTAAAGGAAATATCCGAACGAGTGGGAAGAGTGTCATCTTGGTGTAAAACAAAGGAATAGCTTGACCTTAAATGAAACATGATGTAAAACAAAGGAACTAAGCTTTGAACCCATGCTTGAGGGACCTGCATGAGACCACAAATGGCCTTATGAAACTTGAAGCGAGTGGGATGGGAAGTGTCAAGATTACTCTGAAGTTGAGCCATGTACGCGTCTTCACTGAATCGCAGATAAATTCATGTAAGAAAACATTTTTAACGTCAAGTTATGAGAGCCCACCCAATGTTGGGCTAACCAATATTAACTTTTGAAGTTTTGGATCACAAAGGTGGAAACCCAGTACCAAGCCCTAACTACAAGATCTTATACCTTCATGATGATGAGAGATTTTTCAATGTGAGTTGAACATGGATACATACGCTGTATATCATTATACAAGTAGATTGACCCTTAAAAAATAAAATTTTCCTCAATTTGTATAATAATTTATTGTGTACCGTCTGATGTTCTAGACATATTAAAAAATGGAAGAGGATCCTCTCCGGATCCTTTGTGAGGATCCTAGGGATCTCTACAACCTAACCGTTCATTGTACATAGTGCGGCCAATTTTCGTCAGGTACTATTTGTGTATGATTTTAAATAAAAAAATCAAATGATTTCTGACCGTACGATGCACGATGAATGATTAAGATGTGAGAATCTCTAGGATCCCCACAATTGAATTCGGATGGAACCAAATCCTGAAAAATTATATCCCTGATGATTATTGATGGTAAACAATATTATAAAAAGAGCCTTAGACTTTCCATACATGATTTTTTACCGGATTCTGACGGACATTTCGTTATCTATCTGTGCAGGCATTATCCTTTTTGTTATTTTTTCTTTTTCCATATTTTACTCATTTTCAGTACCCTGCTTGCAACCTTTGAGTTTAAGTGGCAGTAGGTTGATTTAGCCGATCAGGACAATGTGTTGGCATTTTCCTCTTCCGCAAGTTAAACTAGTATATCATTGTGTGTGTATATAAACCTTTGACGCAATTGTTTTCAGAAAAGAAAAGGACCTTCAACCTAATTGCAGGATATTTTACCACAAAAATTCTACGTCAATTATGATGTCAATCTCTTGTCTTGATATTAATCAGTACGAGCGAAGAAAATTTGTTTGCATTTGAAAACTGCTCGTCTTTGACTAAAATTACATAAAGCACAATACCTTCAAAGTAATTAATTTATTGTTTATAGTCTTGTTCTATGAGGTTACTTGTTCTCTGAGGTTACTCACAATCTTATTTTATGCTATACTTATAGGCCAACTAGGAAGTATTCGTTAGAAGTATATTGTTAAACTAAAGTTTTTTTATTAAAGGAAAATGAGAAATATATAAAAAAAGCTCAAGCACACTTCTTAGTTCTTACGATTAATTGAAAGGGTTTCCAATGGAAACATCCAAGTCTCAATTTTTTCTCAAAAAGCGGTTATACTTCGGGTTTTGCTCAATGCAATAAAATCCACTTTCCCAATCCCCTTAATGTAGATACTATCGTTTGTTAAAAAAAAAAAATATGATATATAATAAGTAGGTTTGATTCTCATCAAAAGCGAAGTTGAACCACATTATTATAGGCTGCCACAATGTAATACTTAGTCCACTTCTCCATCCCCTTATTGTAGATACGATACATTTGTTTTTAAAAAAATGATATAAAGTATACTAAAAACAAAACTTTTATAATTGGAATGTCAATATATGATGATATATTAAACTACTTAAGAAGTGCTATGTGAAAAAGGTATGTAAAACACAAAAAAAAGTGCTTGATTATTACAAAATATATTCCTATATTGTAAGATATATTAAAGTTTGAATCCAGAAAATTACAAAAAAAAAAAAAAAAATTGAATTCACAACACTGAATTGAAATGCGAAGCCAATCCACTATTTGCACATGATGGTGCTACTCGCACGTGAAAGTGCTTGATTGACTTGAGATGTTCCAATGGCATCCTAGTAGTTGAAGGTGTAATGCTTTATATGAATAGTGCGAAGTTAATTGTGAGCAAATATAACATATACAATTAATAAGTGCTACACTTATCACTTATTTTTATTATCTCTCTAATAGAGGTAAAGCGCGCAAACGCATCTAGGTTTCATTTCTATTAGAAATATAGTACAAATAAATAATATAAGTAACATTTTTAAAATATAAAGTACAAATAAATAGTAAAAGTAGCATTTGTGAAAGCAATATATAGATCATGCAGTTATCGTCTGTCACTGACTCGCCGTGATAATTGATGAACATTCTTATTATAATTCACAAAAGTACTTTACATCACGAACACATTTGGGCTTTCCCTTCATAGTACAACCCGAGCTCTTTATTAGCTGGCCACTGTATTTTTCTTCTTTGATGCTTCACGTACAGGCACACAACACAAATGAATAAAATCCAAAAAATAATGAAGAAATTAAAATCTTGAACTTGTTCAAAGTTTATTATACAAACCCTAAAGGATAATGCAGTCACACCAACTTAGAAGAATGCAACCGAAAATGACGTGGCTTTATTAGCAACTTGGACGATGACTAGGAGGAGCATAAGAAGGTCCGATCTCAGCTGCACCACCACCACCATATCCATGTTGCTCTATGGGAACTGCAACTGGAGTTGGCTCCGCGCCATATCCTCCTCCTCCAACTGCTGCTACTTGGACAATTTCTTCTTCTTCCTCAACACAAGGAATAGGTGCAGGAACCATCACTTTCTTCTTCTTCTTGGCAAAACAAAAGAGACCGACCAAGAGGAACGCAAGGAAGAATGCACCACCCAGGGAAACGCACACGGCGATAACGGTGGTGTGGTTTTTCCCAGGAGGCGGTGCAACGATTTCGAATGACGGTGGTACAGCGTTAGGAGGAGGAGGGTTGCCGTAATAAGTAGGTGGAATGTAATAACCAGGAGGGAATGCAGGTGGTGTCGCGCCCTTTGGTGGTTTTGGTGGCGCCGCCTTTGGTGGGCGACTACCTTTTGGTGGTGACGATTTGGGAGGGTATGGCTTTGGTGGAGATGCTTTTGGTGGGTACGGCTTTGGGGGTTGTACTACAGGAGGCTGACTAGTCTTTGGCGGTGATGCTTTTGGCGGGTATGGCTTTGGTGGTGATGCTTTTGGTGGGTATGGCTTCGGAGGGTGTACTGGAGGTTGGCTGGGCTTTGGTGGCGATGCTTTTGGCGGGTATGGTTTTGGTGGTGATGCCTTTGGTGGGTATGGCATCGGAGGGTGTACTGGAGGTTGGCCGGGCTTTGGTGGCGATGCTTTTGGCGGGTACGGCTTTGGTGGTGATGCTTTTGGTGGGTATGGCTTCGGAGGGTGTACTGGAGGTTGGCTGGGCTTTGGTGGGTGTACGTGTTCAGGTGGTGGAGCACCGTAAGAAGGCTTTGGTGGATGTACATGTTCAGGTGGTGAAGCACCATAAGAAGGTTTTGGTGGCGATGCTTTTGGCGGGTACGGCTTTGGTGGTGATGCTTTTGGTGGGCATGGCTTCGGAGGGAGTACTGGAGGTTGGCTGGGCTTTGGTGGATGTACATGTTCAGGTGGTGGAGCACCACAAGAAGGCTTTGGTGGATAGACATGTGAGTGAGGTGGTGGTGCCACATGCTTCGTTGGGGGCTGTGCTGGAACTGAGGGTGGTAGTGCATGAGGTGGTGAATAAGTTGGAGGTTTAGGATAGTCATGGTGATGTGGTGGTGGAGGAGAAGGAGATGGTGGCCTAGGATAGTAATGGTGGTGTGGTGGCGGAGGAGAAGGAGATGGTGGTTTAGGGTAGTCATGGTGGTGTGGTGGTGGAGGAGAAGAACATGGTGGTTTAGGATAATCATGGTGGTGTGGTGGTGGTGGAGAAGGAGATGGTGGTTTAGGATGGTCATGGTGGTGCTCAGGTGGTGGAGCTTTTGGATAGTCATGGTGATGTGGTGGCGGTGGAGACGGTGATGGTGGTGGCGGCTTAGGGTAAACATGGTGATGATGGGATGGGGGAGGAGGTGACTGAGGTGGTGGCTTCGGATAGTCATGGTGGTGGTGAGGCGGTGGTGGTGTTGGTGACGGTGGTGGAGGAGGATAGACTTGGTTATGTTTCGGTGGTGCTTTTGGATGGTGATGGTGGTGGTGGTGATGGGGGGATGGTGGTGGTGGTGAGCTTACGGGGTTACATGGCAGAGGAGGAGGAGGAGGTGGTGGTGGTGGTGGTGGTGGAGCGCATGGTAGAGGAGGTGAAGGTGGTGGTGGAGAGTAGTAGGGGTAAGCCATATCCTTGTTACGGGGAGTTTGAACAAATGTTCCCTATCACCCACTCGCTCAGCAAATACTAGACAAAGAGATGGAGCGAATGAATGGACATGCGTGCTATATTTGTACTGGTAACTAGGAAGAAGGCTCTTGCTAGTTTCCAAGTCTTGGTTAAAATATTTTCATTTTGTCAATTACATAATAATTGAACTTAATCTTTAAAGTATATACAATTAGTTGTCCTTAATTATGTAAAAATAAATAAAATATAGAGTGGGGCGAGTGATCTACTCTAGGATCCATGTGTTTCCAAGCATACCCATTATTGGGCGGGTCTTTATCTATTCTTATTCTAACAAGGGCAACCCAACTTTGTAATAAACAAAACAACCACGTGATGAAATGAAAAAAAATTATCCACTTTGCAAAGCTCATCAGCGGCGATAATCATTTTGTTCTTTGCATCTAGTGCTGTACTGCTGTTATATAAAAATATATTTCTGCCTTTTCAAATAACAGAAATTAAGCAAATTGCTAAAAATTAGTCAAATTGTTGAATATACAGCAACTAGCTAGGTAGGTAGCAACCTTTCCGACAAACCAATAAGCTTTGTATTTAAAATGAAATTTCTTCTGACAAAAGTTGTCAATTTTTGACGCTATCGCATCATGAACTTCCTATTCTTACTTAACCCCATGTGATTAAGGAGGTCAGCCAAGTATTGCTTTCTCTGTAACTTCATGAAATGTTTAATTTATATCTTCCAAATTCTTCCTTCCCCTATACATGCTAACATTTTCCATATATTTCTGTAATTAATCTTTATTAAAGTTTATATATTGGAATCCCTAGCTTTATCAATACATCCCTAGTTTAATTTTCTCAGAAGAAGAAAAGTATTTTTATTTCTATTTTTTGGTACAAAGGGAGCCCAAAGAAAAGTAAAAGTCCATATAAAAACAAACATCAACCCAAAGGGTTCGCTAAAAAAGCTCGAGTCTGAACAATTTCACCTTAATTATCTGCGTGGAAAGTTTGCTTTTGTGATAAAATATTGAGAATTATTGCACATCATAAAGTTTGCTCGAGAATGTATTTTCGAATAAAATCCCATGCATATTCAACATGGGTTGCCAGACCACATACTATATAACTGCTACTTTGGTATATTTGAGCTGTCGAGTGTCGACAAATAAAGTCAAAACGCGACCAAACAAAAACACATGTAGATCAAAACATAGAGGTGAAGTCAACTGCTGAGAATTGAAAGTAAGGTTCGTATATGAGGAGGACAGATAGCACGTGGCTCGCATCATTCACGTAACTAATTTAAGCATTTTTTTGTGTATTTTTATGGGAAGATTTGTCCCACACACTCTCATTTAAATAAGTGTCTAAGTTTTCTATAATCTCCAAGGACAAAAATTTATAAATAAGAAAATTAGACAAAGACCACTCGTATTACATATTTTATTGTATTTTTCCACTTGAAATAAAAATTGAGTTCATTTATTACCTTCTTCTTTTCCCACAATGTGAGACCTAGAGACTAGCTTTGTCCAATAATTTAAGTTCGTCTAAAAATATTGAATTTGCTTCCAATATTATCCTTCAAAAGACTGCAACGATATAATTCAAACAGGCTTAAACAAATTTATTTTGTATCCATAGGTGACTTATGGCAACAAAAATTATAATCGACGTTACAAATTAATTAAAGGATAATATTGGATACTCACTAGTGAGTACTCGCCTTTTGATTGTGTCAAAAAATGTTTTTACATGTTTTTTTGTTTAAAAAAAAAGAAGAAGAGAAATTAGGTTCCTATCCCTCTTTTTTCTACTCCATAGATTATTCATTTTCAATATTTATCAAGGTCATTGGGTTTTAATAAACATCATTAATTATTTCAATAATAAAATATTTTACATGTCAAGATAATTAAATGTTATTTCTAAATATACTCATTTAGTGTTAGAAACGTTACACTTGATATATTTATATTTATGGCTAAATTTTGTATCATATATTTTTATTTTTTAGTTTGTACCCATTCTTAATTTGCAACCTTTTTTTATAAATTGTACCAATTTTCTTTTCAGTTTTAGTTTGTACCCTTATATTAATTTCTTTTTATGTCCATATTTTAAAATTTTTTATTCATCCTCATACTTTTTTAACCTTTTATTTGTACCCACAATTTATTAATAATGTACCCATTTTTCTTTAAAAATGTACCACTTCGTTACATGTAAATTATGTGTCAATTTGTTTTTGTAAGTACCATTTTTACGTACAGTTTACTCATTTTCCAATGTAAAATCTATTTATTTTTTAATCTAAAAGGTACCCATTGTTTTTTATATAAAATATACGTATTTTGTTTTTTTATATAAAACTTACCATTTTTTTTATAACATATACCAACTTTTTGTATGTAAAATGTACTCACATTTTTATATAAATGTATCAATTTTTTATATATAAAATATAATATCCCACATCGCCCAAGGGAGTAGATCATGTAAGCCTTAAATGTATATTTACATCTTTACCTAGCACGAGGCCTTTTGGGAGCTCACTAGCTTCGGGTTCCATCGGAACTCCGAAGTTAAGCTAGTTCGCGCAAGAGCAATCCCAAGATGGATGACCCACTGAGAAGTTCTCGTGTGAGTTCCTAGAAACAAAACCGTGAGTGCGTGGTCAGGGCCCAAAGCGGACAATATCGTGCTATGGCTAGACCCGGTAGTTTCTGACACGACACGATGACACGACATGAAAATAACAGGTTTTTGATCAACACCATAACTTATTGGGTCAGTATCGGGTGACCCGTTAAGAACCAGTTTAACGGGTATACACGCAGGTAACACGTGGGTAACCCGTTTTGACCCGTTAAGAAAAAAATTATTTTGATAATTTTAAAGTTTAATTACTAAAAGATTTATTATAAAATACAATAGCCATATTAATATATACAATATATTCTATATTAAATATATAGTTTTGTATTATTATTATATATAAGTTTAAAAAAAAGTTTTAGTAATTATTTATTTTTATTATGAGAGTTCTTTATTATCATTACTAGGATAAATTTTACTTAACATGTTGTTGTCCACAATTAAAATAAACTAATATAGTATTTGTATATGCAAGAACTAAGAAGACATACATACAAGTATGAAAAATGTGAAAGAATATATAAACACTCGTGATTCATCATTATTCCTCCACGAGTAGATAATTGTTACACTTACATTATCGTTTAGATTTTTAAAATCCTCCAAACCCTCATGAATAATGTTTTTTATTTGAGGGAAAAATTAATAAAATTAATAATAATTATTGTAGAAGTGTAAAAAAATGTAAAAAAAATATACGATCACTCATAGTGACAAACTTTACAACTTTCATGAAGGGGTCAACTTCGAAATCCAACACTATAATTCATAAACCTTAAATTTATATTTAACCGTCGATTGCCATTTACGCTATATTCTTCTTACTGAATTTCATTTTTAAAATTTTCTTTTTTGAAAACATGATCGTCTGGCGGATGTAAGAAGATGAACGGTTCAGATCTTTGATATCACGTTTCGATATTTACGATTAATTGAAATATGAGTCGATGTCATATAGTTTGTAGAAATTTTATAAACATCAAGCAATATTTTCAATAACCGTAAAACTCTGAATATCATATCAACAATCCAAACCGTTCATCTTCCTGCATCCTCTAATAGATCAAGTTTTCAAAAAAGAAAATCTGAAAAAACAAAATTTGATGAGAACAATGAAGTGTGTTTGTACCATATTTGACAAATCCCAAAACTACTGAGCATCGGTCAACGTTATACCGTCAAGGACCCAGAAGAGTTTCCTTCCAACCAAGAGGCCAATCACAGCGCGACACGTGTCGACATCAGAAGCCAATCATAGCGCGACACATGTCAACATCAAAAGCCAATCACAACATGACACGTGTCAATGTCAGAATGAAACTAGAAACTCTCTTCTATAAATAGAGATCATTCTCTCACAATATTATCTAATGTCATTTGTACTAAATCATTCACTAGTACTCACTAAAGGAGAGCTTGAACCTATGTACTTGTGTAAACCCTTCACAATTAATGAGAAGTCTTCTACTCCGTGGACGTAGTCAATTTGGGTGAACCACGTACATCTTGTGTTTGCTTCCCTGTCCCTATCCATTTACATACTTATCCACACTAGTAACCGGAGCAATCTAGCGAAAGTCACAAACTTAACACTTTCTGTTGTACCAAAGTCCTCACTGATTTTGTTCATCAAATTTGGCGCCATCTGTGGGAACGACACTTATTCCCACTCTCTTCAGCTTTGTTAAGGTGGTTTCCACCATTTGTACACTCTCTTTTGACCAGGTATCCCTCTCCAACATGGGGAGCAAAGGAAGCCACAGCACACAAAATGACACCCATCTTGCACCTAGTGCGAAACAACGAAAGAATGAAGGAAAAAAGGTTGTTCTTTAAGCTAAAGTTGATGAGCTAGAAGCTCAGAACAACAAGATAGCAATGAAGAATGAGGTCCTCCAGGAGCAGTATGAGAAGCTCTTTGAGACGCTCCACGAAACTAGGCGTACTCAAACACGCGAGCTCGTTACCCCTGTGGACATCAACCATTATCTGGGTGCCCCCCAACACGGAGGGTCACCTTCCTTCGACATGGGTATCCCTGATGAGGAGCGAGCTAATCATCAAAACATTGATCAACATGTGACTTCTCTCAACCTAGCTGCTTCGACCCAAAACAGGAAAAGCGGAGGAAGACACCTCCTTGCAGAAGGGTTAGAAAGATCGAAAGTCGTTTATCGTGATTGCCGAGACTTCCTAAAGCAATGTCGAGATAATCCCCTCCATATATGCTTGAAGATCAATTACCCAAGGGTTTCTGAAAGACTCGGTCCCCTCCCACAACCCAGGCCAGCTGCCAATCTAGGGAAGGAACGACTGGTCCCAGAGGAACATGAAGGTACATGGGACTCTGAGGTATTCCGACACATTCGCCCTAGAAGTCAGTACGGCGAGTCCAAGGAAAAATCACACTCCCT